CATGCAGGGAGAAAGAAATTAATAGCATATCTTTTTTACACCCTGTATTAACCACATAAAGAGAAGCTAATTGTTGCCCAGTTTTGCCTGACCTTCTATTTTGTAGGTGGTGAAAAGAGGTTGTCAAGAATTTCATAAGTGAATAAACAAGCACTTCATGGTAATCCTTTCCCTGGTCCTATTCAATTTTTTCCCTATTGTATAAATGAAGGTGAGTGTAACATGACATAGCTTCATTGAGCCTACATGTGAGGTCAATAGGCAGATGTCACTTGCAAGTGGCAGCAATTTCTTTCCATGTATCGAGCGGATTAATTCCTCAACAATAGATTTCAATGGAGTAAACGTATCCAAAGTAATATTTCCTTACAAACCCCTCTGCCCTGAAACGTCCTTCCTCCACAGAATTTCATTTCATGCATGCACACTTCAGCAAAGATCTCTTTGCCTTTGTCAAACACATTTCATCTGCGATTTCATTAATATTATAATTAACAACTGATACAGAAAATAGTGCATCCCAGAAGTGTGAACCAAAAATGAAGAAATAAAAGCTAATTTGAAGTAAATTGTCTCTAAATTATTTTGATCTCTTGGACTTCTCTGATTTTTTTTTTAATGATCTAATTCTTGTCTTATTCAACACTTATCACCAAAGCCTATTTAACCATCATGAGCACCCCGGGTGAGTGGGAAGACTTCAAGTTTAAAAGAAACCAGCGAAAGAAAGAAAAGCCTCTGCTACGTTGGCCAGAAGAATAGATAATCTGAGCAGACTGTGAAATAGGAAAAATTGCACCTATAGCACCTACCCACCTCTGTCTTGGTGTCCCTTTCTTTACATCGGTTCTTTGCCCTAGGGCACAATGCCTTCATTCTGCCCGGGATTTCTCCCACCATCTGCTCAAATGTTGTATGTCCCCAAATTAGTCACGTTACTTTCTCCTCCTTTCTCCTTAGCCCTTGAAACAAAACTCAAATTCTGTTAGAGTGGCTGACCATGGCCTGGTATGAGAAGGATCATAATAAGACTAATGACTTGGAACCAATTAGGAAATGATTCAAGAGCCTCCCCTGGAAAAGGAGTTTAAGAAGATTCCAATTTTCCTAAAGAGTTTTTAATGTGTGGGCCTTTCAGGGTGACACAGGGAAGAGAAATGGGGAAGTTCAGGGACAGAATAGCACGTAGCCTAGAGCAAGTGTAACACAGGCAGCACGCATCCATCCACAAATCCCATTTCAGTGTAGGCGGCAGATGCACAGAAGCCGGAACTCCTATCTGCTGGATTTACCTGCTGTTCTCACAAATCCTTTCCCTGAAAGCCTGAAGTGAGGAAGTGAGAGGCCCTCAGAGGTGGCAGACAACATGAAGTCCAACTGCCCATTCCTGCTCTGGGAACTCGACACCAAGCAGGTCTGTTCTAGACAGGGTGTGCACCTCAGGGTCAGACTCCCTGGTGTTCTCGGAAGAGCATTTTCTCTTCCTTCAAATAGGGCTAAGTTGGGAGTACAAAGGGCTTGTTCCAATGTCAGAGTTACTGCTGCTCAAAACGCTTTAGGAATTCCTAACTCACCTTCAGTACCAGTTTATAAAACACAAATTCTCACTCTTTCTCCCTCCTCCCTCTTCCCTGACCCTCTGTTTCTCCACCATTTACCAACTCCCCCTCCCTGACTTGCTAATTTCTGAGTTTATACTTGTTTTTTAGCAACTTAGGAGCTTGACAATCAAGCAAAAGCAACTCTTGGTTGCTTCCACAATTAACACCCGCAATGGAAGAACCTAGCATTGCAACCGCCTGCTAGGAACACACCTCTAAGCAGATGGGTCCTCTTCCCCAGGCCCGGGGCCTCCTTCCTCCCCCCCACCCTGGAATCTGGCCTCCCTTCCCCTATTCTTTGTGTCTGCCACCGCTTTTTCTTTTTTCCTCTGATGGGTCTCTCTTCTCCCGGGCAAATTGCAAGCAGGAATGGAATCTTTGACCTCCTCCCCAACTCTTTCCACTTTCTTTAATGGTCCTTAAATGATTTTCTTTAGTACAAGGAAACAAGCTACATCCATTGAATAAATCCATATTTTACAGATAGTAAAAGTCCAATAAAAGTATCTCAGTAAGTATTTATGGCATCTTTTTCCTGATGCATGTATGTAACTGTCCAAAACAAGAAGCAGGGCCTTTTGATCTTCCATTTGGATTCCTTTATTGCTGAGTGTGGTGAGGAACCTTCCCTCTGCTCTCCCCACTCTGACCTCAGGTTTCATTAGAGGTTCTGAAAATCTCTATGAAGAAGTATGTAGAGCAAGGATCACCAAAATACAGCCTGCAGCCTGCCTTTATAAATGAATCTTTACTGGAATACACACAGTTTTTATCTATGGTAAACACCAGAGAATTAAAAAAAAAAAAAGTTTCCAATCATCAGACCAATGAAGTGATTCCATTTGCAAGAGGGCCATGACCATGTCAGGTCCATTCCAGAACAATGCAGTTTTTCTACATTGTAGGGTCTTTCTTTTCTCTAAGAAGGTCAGGTGATGTCAATCTGATGAAGGGCAATCTGTTGAGATTTTCTAGAATGTTTGAGCAATGACAGCATCACTGGAAAAGGTCCAAAGTACTCAAGGGAGGTTTGTGTCTATGTATTTTAATGTAAAATTTCTTGTATTTTTGCTGTTAAAACTGTAAGAAACATTTCTCTTAAACGTTTCAGAGCACAAAGGAGGAGAAATGGATAAACTGGTAGCACCTTATCTGACTCAGAAGAGATGCTCATGGCTGTGCCAAATCATATTTTTCTTAGTAAGTCACACTGAACAAAAAAAGAAGATAAATCACCATGAAAATGCAAGTGAGCTGGTAATAATAGCCTAGTTATAGCTGCCATGAAATAGTCATTAAGTTATATGCAGCATAAATCTCACAGAATTTTGTAAATTATGGTGGTTTTTAGAGGCCAAATAGAGATAAACTGTATAAACTATGGCAGATTTTCTCTGTGCTCCTTGGCATGGCTTTTTAAAATGCTTAAGCTCATGCTCACAGTACCATATGTGAGGCTTCATGTCTTAACATTTGAGAAAGCATAAAGGTTCACAGCTCTGTTAAGACCCCTCTTCCATGTTTTTTTTTTTTTAATACTTTTATTTATTTCTAGGAGAGAGAGAGAGAGAGAGACAGCGTGAGCAGGGGAGGGTCAGAGAGGGAGTCACAGACTCTGAAATGGGCTCCAGGCTCTGAGCTGGCAGTCAGCATAGAGCCCGACGCGGAGCTCAAACCCACGAACCGCGAGGTCATGACCTAAGCGAAAGTCGGACGCTTAACCGACTAAGCCACCCAGGCGTCCCCCCTCTTCCATGTTTTAAAGGTGATCATTCCTCACCAGTTCTATTCTACATGTACTCCTCCGCTGAGTTCTGTCCGGCTCTGGCTCACATCAGACCAGACAAGTTTCCAGCCCAAGCCTCACACTTGAAGCCGCTCCTGTTTCCGAGGCATGTTGCAAGAGCAGGTGCTGGAGATGGGCAGTGCTCGCAGGGCTGAACCGGCTGCTGGTGGTTCCAGCAGCCGCCTCCACTCCAGAGACCAGCAACACAACCCCACTCTGCGTCTCCCTCAGTGGAGCGGCACATTAGCAAAACTCAGACTCAACGATTCCCAGTAAATGTTCCTTTTCCTCCTTTTTGGAGGTTGCTGGTAATCCCCAGTTGATCTTTCCTCTTAACTGCTTTTTCCCCCTGCTATTTAAACTGAATTCTTATTGCTCCAAATTAAATCCATTCTTTCTGGCCTTGTCATTGCTAACTAATGAGAACAATTCCTCTCTTTGCTCCTGGAAGCTGCACTTTCGGTACTTATGGATGAGAATCATATCCTTCTTTAGCCTACTTTCTTAGCTGCAGACGGCACAGGTGATAAAATGGGTTAATTGTTGCTATAAAAATATTTTCTATCCTCATAACAAAGTAATTTTTTCCTCCAAATCATTTTAATTTCTTAGAACTGCACTGTGTTCTTAACAATGTGCAGTGACTGAGACTGCCGTCCTATTGGGCCTCTATATACAAGCAAAATGTTGGATATACAATACGCATGAATATAGCAGTTCTTGGTTATTGTGCTGTTCCCTTCTGCCCTATCCACTCCGCCCTCAGTTTTTATCACATGCTCTTTGGGTCTCTCCAAAAAAGTTTTCAGCCTAGGGCAGTGGTCAACAAAGTATAGCCTATAGCTTGCTTTGACAAAATAATTTTTTTTAAATGTTTTATTTATTTCTAGGAGAGAGAGAGGGTCAGAGAGAGAGGCAGTCACAGACTGAAACAGGCTCCAGGCTCTGAGCTGGCAGTCAGCACAGAGCCCAACGCGGGGCTCGAACCCACGAACCGCGAGATCATGACCTAAGCGAAAGTCGGACGCTCAACCGACTAAGCCACCCAGGCGCCCCGACAAAATAAATTTTTATTGGAATGTGGTCACACACTTTTTTCTTTTCAAAAAATATGTTATCTATGGCTGTTTTCACATTACAATGGCATGGCTGAGGAGGTCTGACAGAGCGTATCACCTGTAAGACCAACTACTTGCTATCTAGCCTTTTACAGAAAAACTCTGCTGATCCCCCAGCAAACATTCGAGCGGGCTTTGCTCCTTGCCCCAGGTTAAGGTAAGTACCGAATACATCTCTTATGGACACCCAAGCAGTCTGCTAAATGCTTCATGACAGACCAAACAACACAGCCGGCAAGAGAGTCTGGACTGAAAGAGTTTTTCATTTTTTATCCCTGAAGTGCCCTACAGGCATCAAGGTTCATGTCTAAAGGGAAGAATGAGGCTTGACACATGGACTAACCCTTGGATATGGCTCCAACACATATAGGCAATTTTTATAACTCTGCCTTTTTGTCAAGCCTATCTATCTAGAACGTTCTGCTGCACTCAACCGGTGCACCAACTCACACCGCCAAGAAGACAAGGAAATCCAGGCCAAGGCCAGGTACTCACTATGTGAAGCTGGAGGAAGTCACCAAGGCCAGGAGCACTGTCAATGCGCACCAAGATGCCATCCTTCACAGTGGTGCTGAAGCCCACGGCAAGGCGGTCAGAGCGGGTGCTAGGCCTGTCGTTCGCTGGCCAGGTGTAGAGGATGAGGCCTCCGCTTTTCCCAAAGATGTACGTAGCGCCGGCTGCAAAAGCAAGGGGAGAGGGAGCCATTAGTTCACTGCCTTGTGCTTTGCCAGCTATAGGCACACCGTTGAGACTCTGCACAGACAGGTGCGGAGAGGAAACGGCCCCCGCATGCCAGCGTTTGGTGACTGAGAGGGATGGAATCCAGAGTCTGGGAAGGCGGCTGTCACCCTAAATTAAAGATGCAGGCAAAATGAATTAATAACAAAGCAGATGTTAGCGACCGGCATCCTTAACATCCTCAGTTCCTGCTGTATCTCAGACACGGTGTCTGAGAGCTTTGGTACATTGTGACGAACAACCTTCCTATTTTCTTCAACATCAGGATTAATTGTCCATCTCGGCTAGCAAGCATGGGAGAAGAAACTAGTTCCCCCATTTCTTAGCTATCAGAACACATCGGTCAGTGGAGCCATGGGCAGTCCCAGAAAAGCCTCACAAGACTGAAGGTAGCATGCAAGTCCAAAGCCGCCATCCCTTTCATACCTGGATCTTCTACCACCCATACAGAAAAGAGCTGTAGCCTGAGGAAGCCAGGTTCTGTGACTAAAAGCATTTGCCTATTTCACTGTTATGTGGTTATAAAAAATGTGATAAAAATTAATTCCAGAGGCATTTAAAAAATTAACTTAATTTTTCCCCTAGTGGTGGTGTTTATTTGGTATTATATAACAGCTTCTGTCTTTTTCCCAGATGAAATTTCAAAAAGGAAATCTAGAAGACATAGAAAAACAAAATCCCAGGATGATGAATTTGGAACATAAGTAGTACTGTCACTTTTAAATGGTGGGTTTATCAGTGTCTTTAGTATTTACTGTGTTTTCACTCTTATTATTTACAAAGCCAGGGATTAGAAAGAATATATTAACTTAAAAATACAAAGGGGGGTGCTTGGGTGGCTCAGTTGGTTAAGTGTCTGACTCTCGATTTCAGCTCAGGTCATGATCCCAGGGCCTGGCATCGAGCTTTGAATCTGGGCTGAGTGTGGTGCCTGCTTCAGATTCTGTTTCTCTCCCTCTGCTCCTCCCTGACTTGTGCACACACTCTCTCTCAAAACAAACGAACAAACAAACAAACAACCCCAAAGAGAACAAAACACAAAACCAAAAAAAAAAACAAAAACAAACAAACAAAAAAAACAAAAACCCCATAGAAAGCAAATAGGAAGAAAAATAAAATATTTGTATATCATAATTTTAAAAGTCTATTTCTAAAAACAAGTTTTTAAATCTAAATTTGGGGAAAAGCATTCAGATTTGGTAGCCAGAAGAGACTACTTCATTGTAGGATCTATGGCTGTATGTATGTTACCCATAGTGAGTACTTCCATATGCTACTCCTCTCAAAATTCAAAGAATATTTGGCGGAAGATTTTCTTGTGTGTTCCCACTGAACATGGCTCAGTCTTTAAAATTATTCAAAAAAATTGTTTTAACATTTATTCATTTCTAATAGACAGAAAAAGAGACAGAGCATGAGGAGGGAGGGACAGAAAGAGAGGGAGACACAGAATCTGAAGCAGGCTCCAGGCTCAGAGCCGTCAGCACAGAGCCTGAAGTGGGGCGCAAACTCATTGACCGTGAGATAATGAACTGAGCTGAAGTCAGAAGCTCAACTGACTGAGCCACCCAGGTGCCCCTGAAACTATTTTAAGGCAGCATTAGAAAAGCATTCAGATTTCTTCAGCTTTACTAAAAATCTCAAGCACTCATCCACATTTAGTTTACAGAGAATATTGGATTGAATTATGTTGTCTGAAGAAAAAAAATGAGTTATGCAGCTTATTTAGAAATAATAAAGTCAACTGCTATGAGGCTAGAATTAAGAGTATATATCATATGTCATGCTTATTTTAAGCACTAAGCCATATTATATTCAGAGACATATGGAATCTAATTTGTTGTTTTTGAAAGGTCACTATTCTAGTGACCAATATGCTCAGTTTGTATATTAAATGTAGAATGACATTATCTTTTACGAATTTCCCAAACCTAAGGGGATTGTGTCTGAAAAGATCTCCACATTCAACCTGGAAAATTTGGGATTGTAGTATGAAAAGTTTACAATTAATTCTATATGCAAAGCTTGCTCCTTACTATCGACAGGTACCCTACACACTTCTTAAAATTAGAAATGTGGGGGCACCTGGGTGGCTCAGTTGGTTGGGCGGCCGACTTTGGCTCAGGTCATGATCTCACAGTCCGTGGGTTCAAGCCCCACGTCGGGCTCTGTGCTGACAGCTCAGAGCCTGGAGCCTGTTTCAGATTCTGTGTCTCCCTCTCTCTCTGACCCTCCCCCACTCATACTCTGTCTCTCTCTGTGTCAAAAATAAAATAAATGTTTAAAAAAATTAGAAATGTGGATATAATAATTAACCCTTGATATCTATCCATCTGTGACGAATTTAAGTAACTCCCTTTTCTGTAGATGATTACAAATGTCATCATCACTCTCCCTATTCTTTATTCGGAAAAGTGAAGGTTATTCAGTGATCAATGTATAGAATCACCAAGAATGCAAATCAGCCTGTGACATTTTGTGGCAACTTATAAAATCTTACCCTATTCTATCCTAAATATGTAGTGGATGCTGGTACAGAGATAAATCCATGCTCCCATTCTCTATCAGGAAATAATTTTACCACTACAAAAAGTAGTCCAAGGTTCTTTGGAACACATATGCCTGGTGTTTTGAAAAGCACTTCTCAAATTCATTAGCCAGATCTGTACAACAATTCTCTGGGGTATTTCATTTGTTAACTATGTTTAAAAACAGAGACCCAAGCATCTGACTTAAATATGTGGTACTTCTTTAGGTCTCCAGCTCTACTCTCCTGCCTCCAAAAGCCTATCTTCACCAAATACCAATCCTGGCTTAATACAACTATCCAATAAATTCCCTCAGTGATACAAAGCTGACTGTGCTTTATCCTTTTCACATCTTCTTATAAGACTAAAGTAGAATGAAAACAAAGCCATATCCTCCAAACCTGGCATATTTTCAAAAGCTAGTCTGGCCTCCTAACCATATAAATACATTTATAAACCTTCTGGGTTCTGCTCATACTTTTTTATCCACTGACTGTTCAGTAATTCTCAATATAAAGAATAGAAGGAGAAAGTGTATTTTAAATGATAAATATGTGACTTCTTCTAAATAGTGGTTAGGAGGTCACCATGGCTTTAATTTTTAAATGAACAAAGAACAAAACCTCACTATGACAACAATATCAGGGTAGGTACAAAATCTGTCTTAAAAATTATTTTTACTGCTTTTGTTTTTCTGAATTTGGAATGTCACTATGTTAGATAATTCTAACTTTGTAGGCAAAAAAGGCAAAAAGTACAAAGTCTTTAGCATATGGATTATTTTGCTATATGGAAATAAATCCTGAAATATGTATTCTTGGTACTAAATTTCCCAGTAAGGGTAAATAAAGACCCTGAATGCTCCCATAGTTCACCGTTGGCTTTAAAGGAAGTGAATTAATACTTAAAATGTTCTACTCTGAAAACCTGTTATTCCCCTCCCCCCCCCCGCCCACCTTTTAGTTAGGTTTGCTATCTTTCATGGTTTTTAAAGATAAATATTCATTCATTTTCTGTTAATTTTAATATAAAATGCCTAGAGTCCTAGGGGGAACACAGACTTATTTTGCCTTACAATTTCAAATTAAAAAGTTAATTTTGTTATTTTAAAATGTGGATTACAAATCAACAATGTGGGAACATCCTAAGAACTATAAGAACCCTCCTTAATCCATTAAAGATTTTCATTTCCAAGCCATGCAATATGACATCACATGCTCTCTCCCCTTAACCTAGCATCTCTGTTGGTTTCTCACTGTGCTAAGTATGCTGGTGCTAAGATCATCCTCCATTTATTAACAATAGGAACCATGCAAATTTCTGCTTCCTAGAAAAGAGTGATCAACTCAACTGAAAAAAAAATTCTATGGTGGCATTCTGGCCATTTCCCATTGTAAGATTTGCAAGTTTGCAAGCAGTTGAGGTTGCTGCGTCCCACCAATAGAGTATTTCAGGAATGAAAGCTCCACACTGTCACCATTCACAAAGATTAAGTGGATACACACTATTTTTAAACAGTCAACAAGTCTGACATGTTATTTCACACACAACTTCTTTCATCTCAAAGATATCAAAAAATAGGTTTGGCTTCTCGTTTTTCTAATTGGCAACCTCTTTACTGGGATGAGGCTAATGGTGATTTTGGAAGAGGCGGCTATGTGAAGGTATAAATATGTCTGTCTGGGTTATATTCTGTGTGTGGGACTGGTGGAGGGGTAGAAAAGGGGCAGAACAGCCTCCACTGTGGGGCGCCTGCGTGGCTCAGTTGGTTGAGCGTCCGACTTCAGCTCAGGTCATGATCTCACGGTCTGTGGGTTTGAGCCCCATGTCGGGCTCTGTGCTGACAGCTCAGAGGCTGGAGCCTGCTTCTGGTTCTGTGTGTGTCTCTCTCTCTCTCTCTGCCCCTACCTTGCTTGTGCTCTGTCTCTCTCTACTTCTCAAAAATCAACAAACATTAAAAAAAAAAAAAAAGAACAGCCTCCACTGAGATCATGAAGGAGTCGTGGGGGCAGCTTTATGTACTCATGCAATAATCTGATCATATAGATGACCTATGGTTTCTCAAGAAGAATACAGGATAAAGTGTTTTCTAGGTTATATATTTCTCCAAGAAACAGTTCTTAAATGCATATTTAAGTGCATATTAGGGCTTATTAATAAAATTTAATTTAATTACTGATGGCAACTTAACTTTTCTCTTTTTAGACCATTTGGATAATTATTACAATTGTTGCTTTGACTTCTTAACCTCATGGTTCTGCCATTATGACATTGTTTTTATTTCTATTCCCATATCCACATAGCATATTACTTTTTGGGGGAATTACCAACAGTAATTGAATCGTGGACCTCTTAGGATTTATGTTCAATATAAAAATAATATATACATATGTATGTGTATGCTTATGTAAGGCCACAAGTCTAAACGGCTAAACCAAACTGACTCCATGACAGGCTTTAAGTTTCCCCTCTAAACTAGAAGGCCTGAGTTTCGGCTTCCCCCGAAACTATCAGGTAGTCACACATTGCCCAAGGCAGGAGTAACCACCCTTGCAACACCCAGTCAGGAAAGGCCAGCGACCACCCTCCACATTGTTAAGGGAGAGGTCTGGAGACAGAAACTATAGATAGGACCCTGTTACCTAATATTAAAGTTAACCTGTTAGTCGCCAAACAAGACCCTAGGCTCGCTCTGTGATTGGTTGAATTTAAAGGTACTCTAAATGTTGTGATTGGATCCCGCCAAAAGTAACGAATACTCTAGACAATGTGTATGGTCAAACCCGCTGTCAATGATGTTAAATAATTATGATTGGATCACTGTTCCCATGTCACAACTTCTGTAACTCCCCCGTCTCAAACCCCATAAAAACCCTACTCTGCCCTT